AACTATATAATACTCATAAATTATGTATTATAAAATATAGTACATAAATAATAAAAAGTTTGGAATTACAATAACATGTCATCAATCTATTTAATTTTTACTTCAACCACAGACGTAAGATTTATATGTATTTACAAACCTTACATGTTAACAGGAATCTTTAAAATACATTTTTTCATAACATAAATATTTTTATAAATACATTTACCATATAAAGTACAGTTGTAAAATTTATATAAGAAATTATTTTGATTAATTATACAATTGTAAAATATTCTTCGATAAATTATATGCCAACAGGTTTTATTTTAATAATTGAAATTTTGATAAATAAAATTGAAGTTCAATATAGATTTTTATTTAAATTGCTTCAAATGGAAATAAATATATATCACACATATTCTGAAAGTATTGGAGAAATGGAACATAATCCGTTTTACAATATACCGTTATAAATTTGTTACGTGGATATTCCCACGGATGGCGCAACGATGAAACGACGATGGAACTCCCACATCGGTAATGTTTTGTCTACCAGTTTGAGCGTTTTGCTACGGATGCCGGTATCGCTTAAAAGCGCAGTTTACAAATACTAAAATTTTATTATAAAAACTAAATCATTGAAATCTGTTTATCTGCTATGCTTGGTAACCGTTTATCTGATTATTCTACATTGTTTCCATAATTACAGGTGAACAATATAAAGATTATTCAATTCAACGAATGAAGAATTTTTTTATCGGCACCACTGTACTGATTGTCAATTAAAATTTCAATATTTTTGATTCTTATTCCTATCACTTATAGCGCTGCCATGCAAAAACAGCCTTAGTCGATATGACAGGGTGTAATATAAATTTGGTAAGGCGTACTAAACCCCCGAAAGTGTGTAACAAAATTTTACGTTGCATATTTTCTCTATCCCATACCTTTGCTGTAGTCTCAAACAGCTCCTTTAGTAGGAGTAGTGGGGGAACGCTGTTTCTGAATTATTAAAGTGAGAAAATTAAGTTATGTAGACACCTCTATGATAACATTACTCTGTCAAGGAGCTGTTCGAGACTGTATGTGAGCAGTTCTATGTAGCGTTCAATCAAACCCGTAAAAGTAGGTATGGAGAGGGTAATTTTTCGTGAGGGGAGTGTCACTAAAGTACTCGGGGCCATCGATATAAACACCCTTGAATTATGTATTATTGTTTATGCTTAATTCATTCTGTGTAGAATATTCCATATATGTGTATAATGAATATAAATTTATATACAAGTTATTAAATATGTAATTAATTATTAAAATTGTGTAATTTTGTAAGTACTTCTCTTTTATTTTGTCAATACTGGAAAGTAAACATGAAGTAAAAGGAAATAAACAATGTTTATTAATAGTGCTGTTAGATGGCAACATTTTTATAATATATCGTAAAAAAATATGTCATCTTATTGTTATTTGGAATAAAATTTTTATTGTAGGTTAAATTAAATCAATTTTATATCTTAATAAAATTTTATTAATGAAAAACAATGAGCGGTGGAGTTGTACCTAGCAGATCAACAGTTTATATTTCAAATTTACCTTTTTCCTTAACAAATAATGATATACATCAACTTTTACAAAGTTATGGCAAAATTGTAAAGTAAGTTAAGAAATAATTTTATTGCATTTTAAATTATAAGTTATTTATATTATTTGCCTGTACATTTTAAGTAACTTTAATAGAATGATCATTATATGTAAGATATGTAAAAATATATGACCATAAATATCATCATGTATTTTATATTTTAAGAAATTAATATGACCTTTTATTTTCTCAAATTTACTTTAAATTTTATACTTTTATTTACCCACAGAGTAACAGTAATGAAAGATAAAATTACACGGCGAAGTCGTGGTGTTGCGTTTGTTTTGTTTCTTGCTCCAGAGGATGCTGTTTCTTGTGCAAAAGGTTTAAACAACACAGAGGTAAATTATTGTTATAAGCTTATGTAAATAACATTTATTGCATCATATTTTTAATAGATAGGAGGTCGTACAATTAAAAGTTCCATAGCAGTTGACAATGGACGCAGTACTGAATTTATCCGTCGAAGAGACTATCCAGATAAGTCCCAATGTTATGAATGTGGTGAAGAGGGTCATTTGTCATATAATTGCAGATATAATACACTAGGACCAAGAAACCCACCAGCAAAAAAAATACGAATTAGGAAGAAGCAAAGAACTAACAATAGTCAACATACAAATGACAATAATAGAAATAGTGATAATGAAGTAATAGAAGATAGTTGGGATGAAGAAGTAGAAACATTAAGTGCTGCTATTGCATTTGAAGTATGTTATTTATTTAAATATGGCTTGTTTTTCAATTATTATAAAATATTTCATATTTTAATTATTATTCAACTATTATAAATATCATATAAAACAATAATACAGTATTATTATATATCTTATAAGGGTTTATATTTCAGCAAAAACAAAAAGAGTTAGAAAATACCCAAAGAGTAGAAACTAAAGCGTATGATGGAGAAAACCGATTAAATCAGAAACCAGGAAAACGATATAAGAAAAATCAATACTTTAGTGATGAGGAGGATTTTAGTGAATGAAATACATATTATAAGAATTGATAAATATGATATAATATCATACAATATTGATGTGGATGAATGTGAATAATAAGTGTAATGTACTGTAAATATTTAAATTTCTCACTTTGTAAATTATTACTTGTACGTACATAAACTTTTAAATGTATTGTGTTATTTCTCTTTATGATCATGATTTTATGAACTGATTTTAAACATAAATAATTTAAAGTTAATAAATAATAAATGATTGTTTTTTTATTTACCGTAATTTAATATTAAAATTTAAAAACATTACATTAGAAGTTTTTAGTAGCGATGTTTTTAACCTTGCAAATATAATTTTAAGTTCGTTAAAAGCAAGTGACAACTAGTTTTCTTTTGAAAAGTTCTATTGTTCTTTAATTTCATATGTAATAAAATTTTGTTTGTAATGTATGAAACGGAAAAGAGTTGTATTATATGTATAAATAGTGATTGAATTCACTAAATTTTGACATAGAAAAGCTAATAATAATAATAATTTCAAAATATAACCTCAACAAATTAAAGGTTATGCTTCGAATATAGACGTTTAAATATAATGTCGGGTTTAGAATTAATAAGTACGTATATTTCTGATTCTGAGGATGACGAAGTTATTAGTGATAACTCCAATAACTCATCTAATAATGTTTTGCAACGGTATTTATCTTATTTATTTCTAATAAATACATTTTAAATTTAAATATTTACATAGAAATTTGTTTCTCTTTTTAACGAAATTAATAGATCTAATATTCATATACTTATATTTACATATATTTATAGTGAGTTTTAATATCATAGTTTACCTTTACCTGGAGTTATTGCAACATGGAAAGGTGTTTCACATCATGAAGAAGTCAGTGATAGTCCATCACAACATGATGGACGAGTAAGAAGTTTTAAACATGAGCGTGGTAACTGGGCAACCTTGGTTTATCTTGATTGTTAGTAAGAATAAATGAAAAAAGTATAAATATTATTTAATTATATCAGTTAAGATATCATAATAATGTTAAACTTTAGATGAACCCAGCGAAGCCATGTTATCCTGGATATTGTCAGTATTAGAAGAATTACCAATTAAATGTAATATATTTCGTGAACAGTTTCATATTAGCATAACAAGAACTTTAATTTTAAAATTTCATTGGATTGAATCTTTCGTAGAAGAAATTAAAAAATTATGTGAGCAGACTGATGAATTTAATCTAGAACTTTTGAATTTACGAGCATATTGTAATGAAGACAAAACACGTACATTTCTTGGAATAGAATGTATCGATGACAAAGGAATTCTGGATCATTTTGTAAAGAATCTTAATAATTCTTTGGCAGAGTACAATTTGCCACCCTTCTACGAAGTAAATACAATTTTTCATTTAGAATGTGTTATACTGCATGCTGTTTTAATTTATATGAATGTATCTTAACCAAAACATTTTATTATTTTGTTGTATAAATTTGTATATTTTTGTTTCTTTTGCAGGATTCTTCATATCACATTAGTTTTCTGTGGTGTCTTGGTAATGAAACAGCAATTTTAAACGAGTTTACATCTTCCTTAACAGACAAGTTGAATCAATTTTTAATTGAACATACAGAAGATAGATATATACATGTTAATAAAGTACATCTTAAAATAGGGAACAAATTGTATGCATTCAAATTAAGCTAATTAAAAATATTATTGCATTCTCACGATTTGTTATTTGTTATTATTACATGAAAATAGCATGTTATGAAATAGCGACATTTCCAATCAGTAGGGAATAGCGACATCTCCAATTAAACAGTACAAAGGAAGCAATAAATTCTTGTACTTAGTATTTGTAACATATATTTTTTTACTTATAATTTTTTAAATTATAACATACGATAAATTAATATATTGTTCATTTAACAATAATTTTTTTTTATTTAAAATATCGGTTTCAACATTTAATAGGTCAATATCAATAAAATTTTGATAAATAAATGGTAAATAATGCGATTATATAATAACAATGTATTTTATTGCTGTTATACAAAGGCGAGTACCGTATATTAATGTGTGTAAAGTATTTAGCGCATCCACGATCAACGTGGTACCGGAGAATAATGATAACACTCGTCAGACTTCTAACTCATATAAAAACATTGTATCTCAGTAACCAAATTATTTACAGTTGTTTCGTTGTTTTATACAGATGTTTTACCTATTTGTCTACTGCTTTTTCAGGAAAAAGCGTGACTTACTATGTACACAATAGCGTGCGATTGTTTAATCAGATCATAAAATATATTAAGTACATAACAAGGAATGTTTAATGAGTCTTTCAATTTCATACGTTCCATATATGTAATATTCTGCGTTTATACATACTCTACCATATGATGTAATATGTATTGCAATTGATTTGTTGCAAATGCTTTCCATCTCTTAACATAACGCGTAATACGTTTGTGATGTCTTAATTACATTCTTCCAATGTTTTCTTAATCGCATGAATTCAATATCAGTATCTTACAGTTATATGCAAAAATTATCTTCAAGTCTTGATTTCCTTAACTTACGCACCCCAGTCATCAAGATTTAATCACAAAACACGAACTGTTTGACGCGCAAGAAACTTTCTCTGACCTATGAAATTCCATTCGATCCATTTGTCGATTTTTCTGGTAAACACTTCATGATTGTTGGCTCTATCAACTTCCATACTTCGGCGAGCTGTAACGTTTAAAAATAATAATTACTCATAAACTCATTCCAAAAATTATCTTCTCTAACTATTCGAAATGTTTTTGTTTTTTTCTTTAATGAATCTATCACTAACGCCACGTTCTACGACACTCAAATTAATTTTTAGAAATATCCTTCCGCATTTTTAACGTTTTACTCATTTTAATTCCATAAGAGTTGGACTCACCAGTTCCTCATTTTTCGATAGCATTAAACACCACAACCATTCTATTTAATTGTAGCTACACAATATTTATCCAAATTTACAAACGAATAATCTTACCTCAGAATGACCGCGTATTTGAACGTTTACAAGACTCTGTAAAACCGTAGCTAGTATCTCTAAATGTGCATGAACCAGTTGGGTTTCCATGTGTAAGCAATGCAACGAAAAACAATTCCGCAGCTCGACGTTCGCGATCACGGATTCCTGAGCGACCATCTTGTTCTCCAGGTATTCAACTGTATCAGTCTGTAAACAAAAGAAAAAAGATTTTACCGAAAAGGACGAGACAATCGATTCTTCGAAGAGAAAAACATAGCTGAACATGAAGAGATCGTGTAGAATTTGATTGAATTATGTAAGGTAATAAGATCAGAGATGATATATTATTACGTTTTGCCCCTCTCGTTAATGTGAGCGACCTTGAGTAACTTCGGAATAACCACGTAATGACGGTTACATGGTAACAATGAGACAAGTTAAATCACCGGATAAATGTATCTTTTCTTAAGACTGTAAATCATCACTTGCCGCTCAAGCATCTCAAAGGATTTATACTAATACTTGCATCTGTGCCGCGGATAACTCCTTGCATTTGTCGTTTTTTTAAAGATAGCATGGTGGATAATGCGCGTTGATGATCAGCGCTGACTCCTCGTTCATGCCTCTCGCATAATATTCTGTGCGCCACGAGGATGTCCAAAAGGAGGTTCAGCCTTTCGCAGACCATCGTCTCTTCTCTAACCGCTTGTTGAAGGGCTCTTGTCGAGAGTAAATTGAATTCTCTGTAATGATGATCGCATATAAGAATTTTTTCAATCATTGCACTATTAAAATATTAATCCATTCGCTACCAACATTTACTTCAATAGCAGTCTCTACGGTTTTAGTATTTTATTAAATAAAAAAAAATATATATATATATATATATATATTTACAAAATACCTCTTAATTGACTCTTTTTTGCGTAAAATACGAAATATTGATCATCACAAATACGTGACGTTGATAGCGAAAGTGTTAATAAAAAATGTTTGTACCTTTACAATGGATAGATAACAATGTTTTTAGCAGGACCACTATTCTATGAATCGGTTAAAAGAAAAAAGATTTATACGAAGACTTAACTTTCAGATTAGATTGATGAATTCAATGTTATACCAGTGAATTATCACTAAAACTATGGAACGTTTAATATGATTAATATTAATATTAATCCACATAAAAATGACAACTATAGATTTCTTCCGATTTCTTCGTATATTCATTACAGTATTCAAGCGAAACAGTTTACTTCGAAAATGATTTAGGGTACTTAACATTTAAGATATCAATAATTGCGAAATAAGAAAACTGATACCCGCAATTTTGACGGATACGGTGGTAGTTTTGGTCACGGTCAAAGAAAGAACATCTTTTAAATATAATTCAACTTTCAGTGACTTATTTCGCATTTTGTGTTGTTCAAAATTAAATTTCATTCACTCCGTGATACTACTCACTTAGAAATAACGTGGAAACCTTTCTTCATCTCTTGCCAAATGCTAGATCCACCTGTGGCCCAAGCGGTAGTGCCATGAGGTTCCGACGCTAAATTGCTTAGCTGTGTGCCCAACTCTGCCATGTCCATTGCGTAACTGTGCGATCTGATTGCCAAACAATCCGCGATATTTTTTAATCGAGATATTCCAAGGAGTATCACCCTAATCTGATCGCGGCTGTTCGCGAATTCGGTCAACGTTTCAGGCGGTACCAATTCCTTCGCTTTCGAGGACAACTCGGAGGTGGCGAATTCGTCCGGCACCCGTCTGAACACCTCACGGATCTTGTGTTGCGTCTCCTCACCGGTGTACGTGAAGAAAAACTGCACAATGTGATCTTTGCTCACTACCGGATGGCGAGCGATCACTGTGAGGAATCTCAAAAGCGATCGTCTTCGTTCTTCCAAGAATTGAGAGTCCGCTGTAAAAGAAAAATTGTAATTAACACGGTGGTTTGGAAAGGATATTTAAAAACTTTATTATTATTATTATTATTATTATTATTATTATTATTATTATTATTATTGAGAACCTTATTATTAGTATTTTTGGAAGAAAAAAATTAAAAAATTATTTTTTTCCTTTCTAGTTTTATTTCTTTATTGTCAAAGGAAAGATGATCCGTCGTTTCGACTCGGTCTACTTAATATAAAATTGTTTCTTTTTGAAGGAATAAATTTAAATGAGAACTTTCTTACGAAACAAATGTTTGATAATTTTAACTAAGAACTTCATCTCTTATCACAGTGCAGCATAATTCATATAATTTTCTGGATTTGATGATATATAATTCATAGAATTTATTAATTTAAATAGTATTTTTAGTAAAATAAGTTTTACAGGTATGTTCAGTAAGTGCACACTATTTTTAAAAAATAATAGACAGTTTGGAAAAATATATGTGTGCTGAAATGAAAAACTTTACCTCCCACGATCTTCTTCGGCGGTAACTTTGGTATCAACCTGTATGGAAACCTTGCGAGGAGTAGTTCATGCAACGACACGAAGTCATTGTAACGTCTATAAACGATAGAATTAAATCTCTGAAAATGAAAACTGTTTTCATTACATTACCCTGTAATTTTCGGTCACATTTTAAATACGAAAGAGGGATGATTTCCAATGAAATTCAAATTTCATCAACTCTTCGTGATGTTATTTTGTATTATTTCATAATATTAGAACTACCTTGCTTGTTACTTGGTATTCCACGTGTTTCAAAAATATTCCCTTCTTCTCGGGCACCAAATTGACCTCTATCGTGTCCAAATTACAAATATCCGTGTACGTGAGATTCAATTTCGCTGGATTGCTGCCTTTGTGCAACCTTTGAGCTAGAAGTGTTACCTCTGAAAGGTCACCAAGAACAGGAACGGGTAATTCTGTGACGCAGAATAAAAGAAAAAGAAATGTAGTCGATAAAAATAACTAATAAAGCTAATAATCTATCAGAAATTATTCTGTATACATTTCATTCATGATTACAAATCAATGTTCAAACTTGAAACTATTTATTTAGCCAGGTAACTGCATTTCACGAGTACACGTGTCATCTTAAAGCTTGCGAAGAATTAAGAAAAATTAATTGATAAGGAAAATTAACACATGCGAACATGCTAATTTCCATCCGAATCTTAACCCCTTGCCACACAATATGAAGTCAGATTTGCGAGTAAGTTCTCAAACGTGAATTACAAAAATAATCACTCAATCATTCTGGATTCAAATTAAATACTATTTTTCTATTATTAAAATCATTATGTTCTGAAATACAGATGGATACCGATGAATTGCCAATTTTTCTTCGTTCATTGGTAAATTATTAATGGTAAAGTAACCCTAACGAGCGCAGTTATGAAAGAAATCATAGGGCAAGGGGTCAAATACAAATTTGTACACTTCAGAATTCTTTTATTAATTGTAATTCTAAAATAAATTCTTCAGAACTATATTTTCTAAACAATTTTCAAACGATTTCAACGTTCAAAGAAATAATACGTTGTAAATGGTACGCAGCGGGTCGTAACTTATTTCAGAACTTACGTTCATAGAAATGTAATAATCATACTAATCAGTGAAACCGTGGTTTTATATCCGTGAACTAAACATTTTGTCGTTTAACAAACTGCTTTAAACGACAGTACCGTTGAATTTTCCATGCAGTTGGACCATGAACAACTGCAATTCGTTTCGGTATTGTTATTCGGCGACGCGAAAGATAATGATCGTCGTAACCGCAACCTCGATACCGGAGGAGACTTTCCTGACCTACGGTACTTTACTACGTGTACAAGATAAAAGCGGATTTGAAACTCATTCCATAGTCACTTTTCTTGTGGTTGCGTTTCCCACCACGTTGAACCGCGTAAAACGTCACGTTGAAATATCAACTGTAATTTGACATGAAATTGCTGTTTATAATCCTGAATACTGCCTCCTAAAATATCTTCCTCTGTTCATTTTTTCCTTTCCAGACACCTGATCAATCGGCCACCGACCTTCGCGCAAAGAAATTATACTCGCGAAATTGTATCAATCATTAGAATATTATTAAGCAACACTTTATTGCTTCGAAAATAATATGGGCACTCGCGTCATCAACACTAGAACTACCAAGCATTCGATATGACTAATATGTACTTCTTATCAAAATTATAAGGGTACATTTGTTTTAATTTTTCTTGATATTCCATACATTAGGTAAGCGAAACTGTTAATTTTCAAAATAACTTTAAATATTTGACATAATTATATCAGTAATTGCAAAATAAGAAAATTAAAACCAGTTTGAATGACTGGCGTTGTAGATCTAGTGTTAACACTTTATTAAAGAATTTATTTTATTACATTTCATACTTTTCGTATTTCTATTTTAAATTATGTTTATACTATTCTAGTATATTTTGTAATTCTTATGTTTCTATTATATTATTTTTATATATCATTCTATTATAGTTTGTATTTTGATTACATTTATGTTTCGTTGTATACTGCATTTTAGTAGAATGTATATCTTCTCATTTTAAAGTACACGAAGAGTCCATTATACGATTCGACAACGTACAAGCAGAAAGTCGGACGGAAAAGCCATTTTCAGTTTGATTAATTTCGAAAGTGCGGATGTACAATTGTAGTAAGAGAAACTACTCGAAGCACGGTTACATATCCGGCAAAACTCTTTCAATCGTGATAAGCGTGTGTCTTTTCACCGATAAGGAAAGTAATTGCTCTTAATAGTCAGTGACACCGTTAAAGATCCTGATTTCTTCGTTCTGATGTTTAATACAAATACATGTGCATACAAAACGTTCTTAACTACCTAAAAAAGACTATGACTGTAACCTTTCTCAATAACTTCAATTGAACTCATTTAATAGATATTATTACAAATTTTGTTTTACAAAAGTAAGAAAAGTATTTGACGAATTGCAAATAATCCCAATTCAAGACTTAATAACAAAAGAAAAAGTATACAAAATAAAAGGTAATGCATTGCTAAGGGAAAAATGGAAGATTTCATTCGATTGGCTAAATGTTAAGAGAACTTGTAATATAATCGCTTGTAATATAATTGTGCTCTTAATTATGCAAATAGTCTAAGTCATTTCAAGCATCAAAAGTCATATTTCCTTACAAGTTACACACAACATTACACAATCATAATAAATTCTCATTTTTCGAGACTAAATATTTTTAAGAATATTGTGTTATATAGCATAAAAATATTTTATCATCTATCCAAACACACACCTTTAAAAATATATGACTCAGTCCAATTTCAAAATTAACTCGATTCAATGAAACTCGTATTAAAAAAATTGATAAAATATGTTCATTAAGAGATTCCATCAAATTTAATCATGCAATTATCGTATTTTCAAGCAAGTAAAATAATTAGAAAATATTTGTGAGAATAATTTATAAGATGTTTATACAAAAACATTGTATGAAAGAAGAAATGGAACTATATAGAAAACCGTAATGAACTTTGATTTAGTTTAATGAAGAATATTTATCCGTTATCAATTAAAAGATGCGTCTACCTTGAGATTCAGAGTTTTCCAAGAGTTTGTCGCTTGGTTGTTTTCCCTGCTGAGCGAACGCGACTAGAGCAAGACCTTTATACAATCCGCTCCTGGTCAAGTAACCAGTCTTGCTGTCAACCAGTTCCCATATCTAAAACACACAGAAAAAAAGGTATGTTAATTTGGTGACATTATGGCCATCGTTTCCGTTTCGACGAAGTGAACCGCTTGAACGATGTTCTTGCACTGTTCGCTGTAAGTACTTTTTCTTCTCGTTCTTTTAATTCAGCCAATTCAATGCGAATCATCGATTACCCTTAAGACAATCATCGATATATTGATATTAATCGAACATAATTTGTTTTATACGTGTTGCATGGATTATAGTGAGTCGTAAAATAATTCTTCTGATAATCTCAGAAAAAAGAAAGTAAAATATTCTTCTTAAGCAAATTAACATATTCAGGTTGAGAATATTACTCAAATATTTCTTACGAATTTATAACAATGAAAATTATGATAATATCGTAAGGTATATTCAACTGATCTTGAATAAAATATTTTAACGCGAATAAAATATATTTCTGAATGTTTATAACTTGTTGCTTTTATTGATGAATAATCGGTAATATATGACTTATTATATAACACAAAAGTGTTGGAACATTGTCTTTTTCATTTCTCTGTAACTTTCATACACGTACAACGTTACGCAATGCAAACGCAGCTATAACATTGTTTCTTTCATCCTAATCAGGATCATTGCTGGAAAATGATGTTCACGTGTGCAACAATTTACTGCGTATTTTCGAGCGTTGAAAGGCGCGCCTGGTAGAAAATAACACGGTTGCGCAAAAGCTGCACGAAAAAATGTGTGGAGCAGGTTTCTAAAGAACAACACGAGAATGATGAAAGAATGTACAAATTATAATATTCATCGTAATCAACTTTCCTATATAATATTATATATAATACTAAAATACAACATTAAAATGTAAAACGAACGACAGTGGAGAGTAATATTTCAATACTTCAATATTTCAATATGCATATAATTTACAAAATTAAATGCCACCATTTCTGCTCCTAATAAGGAATCCTAAAATTGTCTTCTTTTAAATTTCCTACAGTGTGTATGTACGAGCATGACACTGAAAAATAATAATAACGCATACACCATGCGTGATATTGGATCGAAAGGGAATCGGATAATTCGTGTGATACAGAGAAATATTGGTCTATAAATGGAAAATAAGCCGCAGACCATGAGATACACTCCGTCTAACGGCGCAACCTCAGGTAACACTGTGGACGATTCCTAAGGATTAGGCCATAAATGAAAGTAACTGCATTCCGAGAATTTTTATACCTTGCTCCGTCATTCCACTTCTCCTTCTTCCATTCCCATTGCCTCTCTGTCTTTCACCGGTCTGGCAGACCCAGCAGAAACCGCACGTTACTTGCATCTAGATTGTAGGATCTAAACTGACGAGCAGCGCGTTTTTCAACAACAGATAGACGAGATACCGCGAACAATACGTCCCGGAATTGTTCCTTTTAGGCTGCTCAGTGTAATGGTGCACAGAAAGGAGAGCATCGTACTTACAGAGTGATCGAAAAGGAATATCAAACGGATTATAGAGGATCACGGTTCTCGACAGGAGGCAAATTCTTGATCAACGTGTTGTGAGTGATGGGAATATTCGAAGACGTTCGTTGTTGATTATTTCATTTTCGTTTTGACGAAGGGTGATTTTACGTGGACGGATAAGTTGTTATTCTATGTTTTCAACTATTAATTTGTAATTCCTAATTTGAACACGTTGACTGCCACAAAATATGTTATCTATTCGTTCATAGTAAAGATGAACAGGAACTATCAATTATTTGGTACCACAATTCTTACATTACACTGTATTATCTAATTATTTATGCTATTGAATATTTTTATTCAATTATCTCACGGATTATAATTGTTTTTATATAATTTGGAAGCTTCGATCATAAGTTACTACCGTGGCAGTCAATGTATTGATCCTTTTTTATTTGCGACATTTCCGAGGGAATTAAAATTGAAAATTTTCAGAGTGTAGGTGCGTTTTAAGATTGTGCAAGGTCAGAAGTGAAAGAAACGGTTCAGGTATATTCTATTACCGCGTATTGGATCATGGAATGTTTAACTCCGTAAATTATGTACTACACAGATGACACCGAAACTACACCTGATCCTCGATTTACGCGGTAGTTTTTACGCGCGATCTCAATTTACGCGATCTGAATTTAGTAACAGCAAATAAAATATACTTTCGTTTTCTAAAATGTCATTATTATTATTTCTTTTATTAAGCTATGTGAAATAAATATGTATTTCTAAAACTTACACCAGCTTTCCTCTTCAATATTTTGTTTTCTCTTGTACCGACAGGCTCTATTTACACGATTTTCGTTCGTGTAAAACGAACCCACGTGGAACGGATTTTCGCGTAAATCGGGGGTCAGGTGTACGTAGATTCAAGGAATCATTTTATAAAAATCGCCAACGTTTCTATTATTCATGAGTAACCGATTACGAAATTCATTATGAATCATTTTCGCGTAATGCTTCTGCGTGGACCGTGAAAAAAGTGGTAAATAATAATTAGATAATAGTGCAATTACAATAAACGTATGCGTACTAAACAATTATTCAGTCACGAACCTTTACAAATATATAAAATACAAATATATAAAAGGACAGCAAAAGTAGCTCATTATACAAATGATTTATTATCTTTATATAAACTTGTTGTTACAAATGTGTCATTACATAAATCTGTGTAATTATAAAAAAATTCAAGTGATCTGGCAAACGAGGAAGGAAAACAAAACGATGAAAGGAAATGGAGTACACCTGACCCTCGATTTCACGAAAATCTGTTTCACGTGGATTCGTTTTACGCGAATGAAAATCAAGTTTTAGAAATTCATATTTATTTCACATAGCCAAAGAAAATAATAATAATAATGATATTTCAGAAAACAAAAGTGCATTTCATTCGGTGTTTCTAAATTCACGCGCATAAAAACTACCGCGTAAATAGTGTTCTAATTTCCCGCGTAAAAAGGAAGAGTTGCTTAAAAAACGTCCGCGTAAATCGAGGATCGGGTGTACATTGAAAATCCAAAAAAAGAGCAAGTAAATAATGGCGTTAATACGATTGAAAATCAAACCAAGTAAAAAGCATAGTATCTCGCGCACGTTCTCGTTACGTATTCGAAAGCGCTTGGTCCCTGTTTTCTCGTTGGTTTCACGAGTGTCATTAAACCTTAATCGTCGATCAAGTTCACCGCGAGTAGTCTACAATAAAAATAAGTTCCCTGTTTGCGGTTCGTGCGAACATTGCTCATGAACAATCGCCGTGAAAGCTGAGATTCTGCTCGTCATGGATAAGTACGCCGTCTCAACTCGAGACGAATTATTTCGCGTCGTTCGGGCGTCTTCAGAAACACTTCCATAAAAACACAGTTGCACGGCACGCATACGAAGCTTGTTTTGTTTATTGTTAGGGAAAACGTAAATATTTGCCAAATAATATTTATTAAATTTAGTATTCGTTAAATTGATGGGTTCCGTAAATCTAGTGTTAACACATTGCTGACTGCTAATGCTTTACTAAAATTTTTTATAGGACCGCCGATTTTAGACGTACAATTATTTTGGAAGATGTGTAATAAAACTACGACAAATTTTTGAAATTAATATATATATATTTGAATGAACCCTTTTTTTATTTAGACATAGGTACCTCTAGAATTTGTCTGTGTATGATATTTGGTAAAACAGTTGCCTTTATATAATGGTACGTTACGAAAACTCGTTTCCGGTTGCCAACGTATGTAATATGAAAACGGGAAATCTTGTTCTCGGTCGCCAATGTGTTAACTTCTGAGATTTTTATTGGCTTATATTTTATTTCGTATATTACCAAATCAGGTAAGTTAGTAATTTCTCTGAGAAACGCTTGTATCCTCTCAATAATTGTAAAAGAAGAAATCAGGAATAAATCGTTTTGATCTGTTCGGTGGATTTAGTGTTAATACGTTGACTGCCACGGTAGCCACCGATAACAGGAGCTTTCAAATTGCTTGAAAACAATTACAATAAGAACATTAATGACAAATAAAAATATTTAGTAACATGAGTGCCGTAATACCAAGTCCTTAATAATTACTTCTGATACTACTTGGCTTTGTTTTGAAAGAATAAGTATTATTATACAAAACAATTCTCGGGCAGTGAACGTATCAAAGGCTCACGAAAAGCTTGAGACTTTTAATTTAAATTTTTGCTACGTGAAGTCGACCGGCATTCAATATGTTAGAGAGCGGCGTATTCATTTTGAATGATATTTCTGAACACTAAAAAACTACCAAGCAATCAGACTGACTTATTTCCAACTTCTTATAAAAATTAGAACAATCCGTTTCTTGAGATTGGAAGGATCTTCTAGTCTTGTATCTATGCAAATACGCAAATTCAATTGACAATCTTTCGTAAAAACGTCTTCATAATTTAAATACTTGCAAAATAAATTTTAAACGTATTTACCTTTCAATAGCTATTGCTATTGCTATTGCTATTGAAAGTTTGATCAAGATAATAATTGAAACAAACGTTTTCTAGTAGAAACAGAGGAAAAGAAAAATCACGAATAGATTAGTGTAAGCAAGCAGGAAGGGAGGTCGAGCGCGTGTGTGTACGGTATACATATCCTTTAAAGCGCGAAACAACTGGAACATCATTAAACAAAATTATTGTGGAGAGGGATCGAGGGATGGGAGATCGAGATCTGTCCGCGGCACTGCTTTATCTCACGTGCGTGTTGTGTTCGTGTCGTGCGTTGCATGGTACCGCGTACAACGGAGTCGTATCCATTGTTAACATTCTCCCGACGGTTTCTTTTGAACATTATAAATGATTTTTCAGCTGCATCTTTTTAATCGTACAATAATTACACTTAACAAGCACAATCACTCGATTACCTGAAATATTATTCACTGTTTGTGGAACTCGTTTTTCTAATTGCTAGGAAATGAACGGAAATAATTACGGAATTTCAATTAGAGAAGTTAAAGTGACCGGAAAAGATTACAAGGAAGAAGTAACTTTAT